GAGTCGGGGCAGCCCGGACTCAGGCTAGACGCAGCCGAGACTCTCCGGAGATTCAAAGAGTCGACTCAAAGAATCCCAGTGCGTACTAGGCCTTAGATATGGGCAAAAATCGCAAAGGGGAATGTAGCCAGCGTATTGTCTCACCCTGCTTTTAACCCAAACGACGCGCCGTCCGTATCAACTGTTTTAAAAACGATTAGCATACGTGCATCAAGTGCTGAAACAACCCAACTTGTCTAATCATCGTATGACATGGGCGAAGTATTGGTAGGACGGAAAGTAAGCGTGTTGCCTCACCCTGCTTATAATCCTGAACACGTTTCATCAGTGAAAACGGTTCTAAAACTGGTTTTAAAACTAAACATTTCATTTTCGTCGACTGAAATGCAAAAACAATTCAACTCTTCTGTTCATTGTTTGCGTTTGGCAATATTTGAAGAAAAAAAACTGGTTGCCCACAGCCAACAACAGGATGCCAAACACGTGCCATCAGTGAAAACGTTTCACAATTGGTTTAAAAAAAGAAATGATGCGCTTTAATCGAGTGAAGTCATTTCTAATCATCTTTTGACACGGGCAACATTCACAAGAAGGATACTTACTACTTATAATCCTGACAAAATGATATTAGTGAAAGCGATTGTTAAACCAGTTTAAAAATATTTTACATTGATCAACTGAAATTCTAAAACAATTTGTTTAATGTTTGCGTTTGACAAGATCGAATTTCCAACAAAAATGATGAGTCAAGAACTAGCCTCGCCCTGCTTATAACCCTAACGTTACAGTCATCTATATCCACTGCAATAATCGGGTTTTAAATGCGAAATATTACACATAATGAAATAAAACGCTGAATAATGCCACTTTCCTATGCAAAATTACCAAAAATGAAAACTTGCCTCACCCTGTTTATAACCTTAACGCTGCGTCATCAAACTGATTTTTGAAACGAAATACTTGAATGATATTTAATGAATATTTAATCAACTGAAATGCTAAAACAATTCAACCCTTCTGTTCGTTGTTTTCGTTTGACAAGAAAAAAATTTGTAACAAATATGAGGAGTGAAGATCTAGTCCTGCTGATAACCCTGACTTTACATTCAAATATGTCAACTGTTTTAATTGGTTTTTAGAAAATGTTACATATAATCAAATAATATGGTGAATGAACCCAACACTCCTTACATAGTTTGTCTTTGACAAGATCAAAATTACCAGAAATGGAAGCAGACAGCGTCTTGCCTCGCCCTGCTTAAAACCCTAACGTTAAGTAATCTAATCACTTTTGTATTTTTGTATCAAAACTGGTTAGACTTGTCACATATAAATATTTATGTAATGACTGTATCTGTATATGTAGTACTGTCTTTCTGAGTGTGGCTGAGATAAAAAAGCTATATAAAAAGCAAATTTATTAATTATTCTAATGTAGTTTTTCTAAAACCTATCTAATAATTCCATCTCATATTTCATGCTAGTCTTAAGGGATGGTTAGGGGTCACGACAGCTCAAGTGGTAGAGCAGGGGAAGGCCGAAGATCGTGGGTTCGAATCTCGCTCGTGACACTGACTTTTTTTATCTCAACTAAAAACCTTAATTAATTGAAAGATATTAATTGATCAAGCGGACCACGAAAATTAATTTAACTAGTCTTAATGATGAGGGCTTTGGGAAGCATTTAAACTTGCAGTTATTAAAGTATTAATATTTAAAAAAATTTATGTTTAAAAACAAAAATCAAAAATATTCATAAATAAATTTTCAAATGATTTCGCAACGGAATAGAATACAATACAAAATAGCCCGTTTATCGTTCAGGATCGATGATCGTCCCATAAAACTCTTCAACGTCATACAGGCCAGGAAATTTCCAGAAGGATTGCCGTTTTAGAATTATTAATGAGGAATTGTCCGTTCACGATTTCCGGCCGGATCGATAAAACTACCAGCCGCCTTTTTCTTTCACTTCATAAAGGTTTCATGAGGAAGATCGTGGACAAGGTCGGCCTAGGGTTAAGAAAGTCTTTTGACCCCATCGCATGATACGCCCTGAAACATTAACAGACCAACATAGATAACCATTCTTCTGTTGAATCTGACAATTTGCTAAACTATAACGTGATTATATTAACAAAACAGATTTAACGCGCATTTAAAACTCGAAACTACGCAGTTGTATTTCGAATAAAATATACGTTAAAGTTTGGCATAAAAAATATAAACAAAACAAGTCAACTGTCATTCCTTCTTCTCTTTTTCAGTAAATACTAAAGAATACACTATTTTTTAAAAATCTAAATGTCAAAAGGGTAAAACTGTAAATATTCGAAGCGAAACGACCCGCTTGATTTATCAAATGTTTCTATTCGTATATGTTCATTTTAAATTTATTTTATTCTGCAATCCCATCATGACTTCATAAAATGGGATAAAAAATAAAGACAAAATATTTTAAACGAATTCAGAGATTCGAACCCGGGACAGTGATAAGTCCGCTATGTCAACGCCCAAACAGTTGCGGGACGACCCAACCTCCGGACCTTACCCCAAGGAAGCGCCCCCCCCCCCCCGACGCTAAAAGCAATACAAACATTTTCAAAAGAAAGTGGGCCAGATAGGCAGAGAAGCACTGTCGATTTACTTGCCCGAGGAAAATATTCTGACTCTACTCAGAATCAACCTCACCCGATTAAGCTCGTGCGAATTCGACGCATGGACAATTACTTTTGGGCCAAAGCCTGCATGACATAGCGAAAAATTGCTCGATGTGTTCTACTTAACCGAAGAGTGAAAATCATTGGCTCCGTATAGAGAGCACGTTGGAATTGTGCTTGAGCACGGCAGAGAGTATCTGGGTTCCCTGTTCCAATTCTTGGAAAAAATAGGGTTGTTTGTATTCTACATGATAATGATGGTTTTGTCCCGCCGTGTGTGTGACGGCTCCAAAACCGGCAAGGGTTCGGGAGCTGGGGTCTTTGGGATGAACCCCAACCGAACTGACGGTAAACCTAGGCAAGTATCCTACAGTTTTCCAGTCTGAAATCATTGCGATTGTACAATGTGCCAGAGAAATAGCTAGAGAGAAAAGCAGCGACCCTGAAAGTTTTGTTAAACCTCTCACCACTTCATATTTTAATCCAAGGAGAAGCCAGAGCAGCAGCCCACAGGATCATACATGGACAACCATCTGCTAGGATAGGCCATGCGAATAAACAATGGATATTGAGGGAGAAGATACAGGCAGATGCCATACTAGGTATGCCAATTGTTGCTACTGCTCTAAAGTACAACTTCACCAAGAAGTACAAAGTACTGATACCACAACGGGAAGAATGAGCCAAGGGAACACCACTAAAGGCAAATTCCTACTGGTACACTGACGGCTCCAAAACCGGCAAGGGTTCGGGAGCTGGGGTCTTTGGGATGAACCCCAAGACCGAACTGATGGTAAACCTAGGCAAGTATCCTACAGTTTTCCAGTTTGAAATCATTGCGATTGAACAATGTGCTAGAGAAATAAAAAGGCTAGGAATACATTCCCGGAAGATAGCCATTTTCTCTGACAGGCCGGCAGCTCGCAGGGCCTAGCCTCACGCGTGGCGAAGGCAAAGGGTGTTTGGAAATGCATGGAGGCCCTGACGGAAGCCAGCGACACAAATGATCTGACATCCCTGGACATTCGGGGCATAGAGGCAACGAAAAGGTTGACATGTTGGCCAAAAAGGGAACTCTACAGGCCCAGAACCCTACAGCCTGCCACAAAAGAGGATACATGTTAAAATGGATCCTTAATGAGTCCAAAACCTGGTTGAACAATACCACAGGTATGAGTCACGCGAAGAGATTCATAGAAGGACTATTCGCAAAACTTACAAAAGAATTACTGGAAGGCAACCAGGATTCTGGTTGGACGCGTGACGGGGCAATGCTTAAGACTTAAGAAAGCACATGCACCGATAGGAGTACAGACAGAAGAAACACTGTGCAGATACTGCAGAAAGAGGAGAAGACCACAGAACACATTTTATGTTTCTCGAAGGTCTATGTAGGTGTAGGTCCTTGCAAATAGGACAAGAAAAACCACAAGCAAGATCCTACACCAAGGAACCGCTGGCAAAGCTGTGGAGGCTGGTTAATTGCCTGAAGCTGGCCAGTGAGTTATAATTAACAGAGGATCACAATAGATCTATTTAGGTCGAGGTGCAGTAAGCCTTGTGGCCGCCTCTCTTATCCCAGTCCATATCCCAATCGCTGCCTGTGTTCTGATTTAATGCATTTATTAGCGTGAATTTAATGTCAAGTACTCCACCACCCTGACTGAGTGAATGGTGTGTATTAAACAGTGAGTGAGTGTGTGAATGTGTCTAGATTTAAAAACTGATGGTTTATCGAAACGACTTAGCAGTTGATAACCCGTTTTTTAAATTACAAAAACCTAAAAATTGCGGATAGCCTGCGAGAAGTGATACTCAGTTCTATGCGTATGTGTGTGATGTAAATGTAAGTAATCAATTATGTCCACCATTTTTCTATATTGTATAAAAAAGCGTTAATAAAATTGTATAAATGTTTATTTATGTGTACGTCATAGATTATATTTAATAATCAGTTGTCTTGATTTATCTATCTTGGCTGTTTCTTTTTGGTCAATATTGTCATAAGTTCAATGAATGGCTGTCATCGTTGTCACGATTAATAAACCATATTATTATATTTATATTATTAGTTTATTATTTCAACCACGTAAATTCAAAATAAATACCTTCTGAATCCGAATTCGACGGATCTGACATTTTTCTTCAAACACCTCTGGGGACGTTTTATCTCGAAGGAAACCGGTCCCGGACAAAAATCTACAGGATCGAAGTGCAATATCTTTCCCAGAGAAAAGTCAATTTACGTAAATTAACTTCTATTAAGGTGATAATGGACGCCCTGTTTTAACACGATCTGCAGCAAGAGAATGAAAGGAATGCGAAGTTTTACTATCTGACATGTCGAGTAAATTTACCGACAGATGGAAAAAATCGGCCTATCACCAGTGATCAATAAGATTTTGTTTTTATCTTCAGATCCTCCTCGTATATCGCGACCGTTGGCAAATAGGCCTTGTTTGTATATCGATTGCGCTTACCATTCAACTGACCTCCCAAGGCCAAGATCACTTTCACACGCCAAGTATACGGACTTTTTTTTAAGTCCCGACTTACTTTTGACATGTTTCTTTAATTATAAACATTAAACGTTCAATTTGAAAAATACTACACGGCTGAACTTTTTTATCATGAAGTTTTGATTATAGAATTCCTTCAAAATTTGGGGGATTTCTAATTTCAACCTTCGGAGATGTCGATGTTTTGACGTCGTGTGGATAAAATCAAACCGCCAGGTAAAGCCGAGTACATAGATAAATTATTTTAAAAAAACTGCAGAAAAGAATAACGGCGACATGGACCAGAAGTTCCCACGAGAACGCCTAAGGGGAACAAAATTGTAGAAGTTAACAGTGTCGCTCGTTTGTCCAAATTGCCGTTGTAAAAAAAATAATAATAATAATGACCAAACATCTGGAAACGTACGGGAAATTTTCCAAACGTAACGTTTATTGTCAATGTAAAGGGGCAAGCACGACTGTAAAGAGTAAGCAGAATTTCGTTTCGTAATAACTTACAAATAATAACAAGATATAAAATATTGTCAATAAAAATTATATTTTTATATATTTATAATATTTTAAATATTACAATTAATTAAGGTTTTTAGTTGAGATAAAAAAGTCAATGGCACGAGCGGGATTCGAACCCACGACCTTCGGCTAGATACGCCGCTGCNTGTGATGTAGGTTTCAGAAAAACATTTTCTTTATCGTCCCAACGTTTCGATCTTTATTGAGCCCTGAAGATGATCTCAATAAAGATCGAACCGTTGGCACGATGCCATGAACGATGAAAGTGTCATTGAGATATTGCTGTTTTATGTATATATACTTTGGCTTTTGAAGTTGTGGGGAAGGAAGTCCGGATAGAAAGACATTTTTGTGTAAGGAGTCGGCTTCTTTCAGGTGAAAATGTCTTCCCGACTTCCTTCCCCACCCCCTTCAAAATCCAAAGTATATATACATAAAACAGCAATATTTCACTGGCACTGTCAACACGACACACAAGGATGACACATCTGCACGGAAAACAAACACTTTGAGAGAGTACAAATACTTTGATTGAATCTAAAATTTTCTAGCATTGTATGAATTCATTATTTTTAATCTAAAATTTTGTAGCGTTGTATAAATTCATTTTTTAATTTTTTTTTTAATCTAAAATTTTCTAGTAAATTCATCATTTTTTCCACATCCTACATGTATTTGTAAAATTCAAACAATGTTTATAAATTCCAGGCTCTGAAGATGATCTCAATAAAGATCGAAACGTTGGCACGATAAACAAAATGTTTTTCTAAAACCTACGTCACACCAGACCCCATCTCACGATCTCCGAATAATCATTGACTAACGGTCACTAAACACCACACATTTCTAGAAGACGACTATGTTCCAATAGTACTTTTTAAAAGGATAGTTCCTACTCACAGTAAGTTGTTTTGCAACGATCCGGATTTCGAGCCTTTTAGNTTAATCTAATTATTTTAATTGTTATTATTTTTATAGTAATTTATAGTAATATTAAGTATTTATTATTCTAATATTTATTTGTGTTATAATTTCCGCGTTTCACACGTTCAAATTGAGCGTCATTAAAAAAACCAGCTCGAGAGACGTGGTTGTAGAAGCAATCTGATGATGAGCTAAAAGGCTCGAAATCCGGATCGTTGCAAAACAACTTACTGTGAGTAGGAACTATCCTTTTAAAAAGTATTGAACGCCACACTCACTCCATCATTTATCATTTCTATACGTTCCAATAGTTCGAATTTTTCTAAAAAACATTACAAACACATATAAAGTAAAATTGCAGTAAAGAAGAAAAGATTATTTTAGAGATGTAATATTTGTGACATTATTTCTGGGATGCTGTATTGTTCTCCCGATATTTTTTCTTCTATTTAGCAACCGGGGTGAAAGTAGGACGAGTAATCGATAAGTGCGTCATTAGTCGACATTTGAGACTTATATCCCAAATGACAATGACGCTTGGACGATAGGAACCCTGGCAAATTCCCCCAGTTTATGGATTTCCGATATCGTTTATAATTTTTAAACGAATCGCCAGTCTCATGATAAAACGCGGATTGTCCCGTCGCGCAGAACATATTCGGTTGTTGTTGTTGTTGTAATTTTTTTTTTTTTTGAACAACGACGATTCCATCTGAACACGCAACGCTACATCGACACACAACAATCGCGACCGTTATCTATCGATGGTTAATGGAAAAAGTTAAACACTTAGTCGATCCCGTAGAAATAATTTTTAGTCGTTTGTTTTTCGTTTAATTATTTCTCGGTAATAAACAATAAAAATTGCAAAACTTTAGTCAAGTCGATTTATTTTAAAACTTTAGTCGCTGTATTACGATTTTAATTAACCAAAAAAAAAGCAAAATATTTAACATTTTACAGTTCAAAGCAAACTTAAGGGCATTTATTATTATTATTTAAATTCAGTTAACGTTTTAAATTTAAGTTCCAAAGTCCAATTTATGAAATAGTACGATAGTTTGTGTCGGCAACGAAGGAAGTCAGACAGATACAAGACGGCGTCCCACAAGGTAGCATTATTGGCCCCACATTTTATATCATTTAAACTGCTGACCTATTTCTACTCTCTAATATCATTAACACCGCCATTTTGTTCTCTAATCGGGTCCTATCCAAGCTACATCAAACATCCAGAACACCTTGAGCTTATCGAAGACCGGTGCCGAGGTGGAAGTGGAGGACAATTGAATGAAGAAAAATGTTCTAAGTCACATAAAAAAAGTCCTGCACTCCACTCTGCATCAACAACAAAGATATACCGATTTCCATTCAAGACAAACTCCTAGAGAGCAGGCTGACACGGAATCCCCACAGAAGATTTAAGAGGAACAAATCATACGAAATGGGGTTCCGCCAAGCCATCCAATCCTTCTAATCAAGAGACTTCAGACAAATTTTCAAAGCTCCTTACTACTCACTTAACCCTAACCTCATTTTCCCGAACGACCTTAACGTTCCTTTGGTTAACGAACGGATCCGTTCTCGATTCCAAAAGTTTTCACATCAACCTCTCCCCAACATTGGATGGTTTCTTTGGCATGTGTCTTCTAGGAGCAGCGCTGGCATTACTGTGTGACCGTGTCAAAAAAGTTTTAACGACGTATGTAGTATACTATGTACTCTAAATAAATGTATAGAGTACAAATAAAATAATTTTAAAACAGTTTGTGTAATTACACGAGTGTGCCAATTTATTAGTCTTTATTAGTAATAAAACTCATTTGAGATTCAAAATTTGAACATTTATTTGTTGTACAAGTGTCATACATAAATGTAAAAGAATTTGGTGTTTGAGTTTTTTCTTTGACTACTCTTTATTGGTAGAAAAGACGTTTCGAATTTTAGGGTTCAAAGTAAAGTTATGGTATGCCATGAAAACTTAAAGTAATAAAATTTAGCGATTTTATAAAAAATGACAAAGTTGATGTGTAAATGCAAAATTTTGTCTTATTTATCTTTCTGTTAGAAAAAAAACAGTGAATGTTTAAAATTCCAGGGTTCATGATTAAATTATGGATATGTCATAGATAAAATCTTAGTTTGCAATAAATAAAGAGCAATTTTTCTTGTATTTTTTATTAGTAAAAAATTCAGTTAAAATATCAAAAAATAAAACATATTTTGTGGTTTATTTAAAACCTATGGGCATTACAGATTATCTGTGATTAAAAGTTGTGGTTCAAGACAAACTTATGGACATGTCAAAAATAAATTACAGAAATAAAGTCAGATTATTTTATTGAAATGTTAATCAGTTTGTTTTATGACCCAAGGAGTTTTCCTTTTATTCATCTTTATTAATAGAAAATTAAGCTAAAATTCAAAGTTCGGAATTGAAATTATTAAAAACGGTCATTAATGATTATTCGGAGATCGTGAGATGCGGTCTGGTGTGACGTAGGTTTTAGAAAAACATTTTCTTTATCGTGCCAACGTTTCGATCTTTATTGAGATCATCTTCAGGCCTCAAAGTGTTTGTTTTCCGTGTAGAAGTCATTCTTGTGTTTCCTCTCAACACGACACACAAGAATGACACATCTACACAGAAAACAAACACTTTGAGCCCTGAAGATGATCTCAATAAAGATCGAAACGTTGGCACGATAAAGAAAATGTTTTTCTAAACCCTACCTCACACCAGACCGCATCTCACGATCTCCGAATAATCATTGACTAACGGGTCACTAAACACCACACACAGTCATTAGTATTCAACTTTCATAAATAAATTACGGTACTATTATTTAAATATGGATTAAACTTTGTGTTTCCTGACCTTTTATTAAAGAAATTATTAATTCTTGGATTTTTGGTTGTATTAGAGCGATAAAGGTTTTTTAAAGCTGGCAGTATGCGAAGTTTAAGTTCAAAATTTCAAGTTTTGGGACTATTTCGAGGGCTGTTATTATTATTGAAAAAAATTCGGTCTAAAAATCATGTGTGCCTCGATTCAAAGCGCGTCCTGCCATCAGTGGGAAGCTCCAGAGGCCATCGCGGCAAATCGCATACTTTAAAAAAAATTGATTTTTATTATTTTTTATTCCAGAGTGAGGCCGTTGAACAACCGAGAGAAGAAGCAAAACGATGGCTCGGTGATCGAGTTTCCTGGAAATGGACAAGTCCTCGTAAGTAATTCGAAAGGCAATTTGCACAGGTCGATAAAATCAAACCAAATTGACGCCCGCGTCAAGGCCGGGGATAGTTAATTCGCCGTTTATCTCTTTTCATGCATTTAGCCAAAAGTCAGAATTGACTCAGTTTTGACAGTTATGTTCGGCTGTCTTTCCGCCTCCGACGGTTAATTTTCCAATTAGCTATTTAAAAGCCGACTTACCAAGATCACGGCTTTCGTGAAACTCCGCCCTTTTCGTTCATTCAAATGACTTAAATTTGCATATTGTATTCTCGGAAATGCTACAACCCAATGCGGTTGTATCAGAGCGATTTCGCAATCTTACAAAACTTTAGGCAAAGTTCAGGTGAGGAATGCAATACGCCAGAATATTTGGAAAACACAAGAATGGCTGTCAGATTGGAGAAATTCTTACATCACTATTACAAAAAAAGGGAATCAGTAAAGAATATTCAAACTATCGAACAGTGCACTTAATCGCCAATAAGGTAATGTTCACGATGTTGCAAGGTAGACTCCAGCATTCATGGAGCGAGAATTGTACAACCTGGGCTTAGAAAAGGCAGAGGAACCAGAAACCAAATGGCCAATATCCGCTGGATAATGGAGAAAGCCAGCTAGTTTCAGAAAAACATCTATTTCTGTTTTATTGACTATTCTAAAGGCTTTGACTGTGTAGATCATAATCACCCACCCAGGGAGTTGTAGCCCACTTAATGTGGAACTACAGCGACGACGGGTGATATAATGTGGTTAAGGCTCGGGGCCCTGAAAAGGGGCACCTTGTGTCCTCATCCACTCCCTCTCTCAATCCAGGTTCCTTCACTCTTTCCTGTGACCCTTCCCAACCCTTGTTACAAGGGGGGTGTCCGAGCGCAAAATAAAGGTGCAGCCCTGAAGGCGTTGCAACCTCTCTAAGGCAGCTGTACTCGTGTCGGCATGGGCGGCGGGTGCCTTATCAGAGGCACACGAGGGTTAAGGTACCAGATCCAGTCTGCATAGACGGGGGAGGGTGCATAACCATCTGAACTACGGGGTAACAGAAATGTTCCAAAATTCAGCGCCTGTTACACTGGGAATGGATACGTAGTGGTTCGTGGTGACGCCCCTGGCGGGAACTTAGAGAAGAGGCTGTCTTCTACCTGTGACTTCGCATGAAACTTGCGTACGACCACCGGCAGCGTATAAGCGTTGACGACGCTATGATTATGCTGAAAAGTCCCTCGAATGCGTGAGTAAATGGGTAGTGAATCGGTTGCTCCTACTTGAGTATGCTTTGCATGTAGGTGTAGTAGGTGTAGACTGAGCTCGATTGGAGGGTTTTACCGTAGGCGGTCTCCTCTAGGGGGTGGTTAGCAATTCCGCTTTAAACAAAACCGCGGCCGGAGCGGATCCGGTAGTTTCTACGCTAGAGAAGCCCCAATACTCTGGGAGATAGAGTGGCCTTCTCTATCTAGGGATTGCGCGGGGGACCAGGCTGATGTATTTCGGCTTAGGTAGCCCTTTGCACGCGGCATACGGTTCGATGCTTAATGCGGTCCCGACCACTCGGAATGGGCAAGCGAAGAGCGAGGTTGTCTTGGCCCCTCGGGACTGAGCTGCCTCTACACCAACGCTGCGGCAGTAACACACTTCTGTCGTATGCAGAGGTGCGTCAGCTCTCATCTTGAGAATCAAAACGTCCGATAAGGCCGAATACGTTCGGTGCGGACATTAAAGATCCTCATTGTCCTTTTAAGGACGACCGAGTATACGGGAAAGGATGTGTAGATCATAATAAATTGTGCCAAGTTCTTGGTGGTATGGGGATACCAAATTGTCTTGTCTACCTCTGTAATCTGTATAACGACAAAGTAGCAACCGTAAGAAAAGAGCACGGACCACCGGACTGGTTTAAAATTGGGAAAGGAGTACAGCAGGGTTGTACACTCTACCCAACCTATTCAACCTGTATGCACAACACGTGTTGAACGACGTGCTGGGCTTGAGGAATCTGAGACTGGAATTAAAATCACTGGAAGAATTAACAATCTCAGATGTACAGGTGATACCACTTTGATGACTGAAAGCGAGGAGCAGGTGAGGAACCGTATGACAAAGTTTACAGTTAAACTTCAAAAAAACCATGATTATGACAACCAGCTTCATAACTAGCAAATAAATGGAGAAATGTAGAGGCAGTGACAGACTGTATTTCTAGGGACAAAGATTGCTGCAGACGCTGACCTAATCCAGGAAATCGAAATCGATGTCAGAAGCAATTGTAAACTAGAAAAGGCAATGGTATTCTAATAGTAACCCGAAGGCTAGAAGGCCCATAAGGACGACGGAGCAAAGGAAGATAGATTCCTTTGAACTGGTAACAGGGTACCACGGAGGAGAAGTTGATGCTAGGAAAAGTGAAGGCAAAAGGAAGAGGGTCGTCCAATGGCAAGATGGATGGTGATTATTCTGGGGGTGACGGACTCAACATGGCGAACTGGATTGGTGACGGCCGTCAGGAAGCTCTGCCTTGGGCTGACCCATGAAGTCAGGAACAGTCGGAAGGGACTGAACGAATAAACATGCACAAACGAAACAACTGAGACAGCAATTCCTTGACCCTTTCCAAAACTTGTAAGCTAAAAATTAACAAGCATCATATCAATAAAAAAACATTATTTCAAAGGAAAAGTGGCTGAATGAATTATGTAAAGATAATTTAAAGCCTATCTCATAATAAAAACAATTTTGTTTGTATGATACCGCAGTACAAAGTATGAGACTTAAAAGTCTTGTTCGCAAACGAACTTATCTAAAATCTCTTTTTTTCTCTTGAAACTTTACAAATAAGTCTTCAAGACTTTCCATTTTTCCCAAGTTCACGGTTTTCGTGCAGCGCCGCCTAATTCTTTCATGATTATTCATAAGCACGACATGCATTCCGGGCGTTAAACAAACCGGATCCATTTTTGGAGAAAATACTTACGAAGCTAGACGAGCCGGTAATGTTCGATGTTGATTAAATAACGATAATAATTATTCTATTCGTTACCTGATTATTCAATGTCCAAATAATAAAAATCACTCATGAATAGGAGGTACATTGGAACACCATCAATATTACCAAATGGCCATAAAAACCGTTTCTTTGAAGATTTTCTTGTTTCGTTTTCAGCTGACCGGGTTGAACGACATCCCTGGTGTCAAGGGGTCGAAGACGAAGCAGTTTTCCTACAACGTCGTCTTCGAACCTGCTGCGACCCAGGAGGACGTTCTCCAGTACTCTGGGATCACGAGGCTCATCGAAATGGCCGTCGACGGATTCAGCGCCACTGCGTTCTGCTACGGGCAGACTGGAAGCGGGAAAACTCACACGCTCACCGGACCTCCTTTTCTAGTATGTTCAAACTTATTCTTGAAAATATTTTTTAGATGATAAAAGCATTATTAACTTAAGGGTTATTTATGCATATCGTTGCTCTAGAGTCTAGAGAATAGTTCAGACTGCATATCCTAGATCAACTTCCTCATTTCATACGTTTCCACTCAGTATTTAAGCTTTAGTTTTTAAAATCATGATTTACTTGCATGCAGGAATGGTTGTGTGCCATCTTGACAAAAAAGACACACGGTCAACCCGTCATTATGATCAATACCGTCAACAACCAACCAATACCTTCAACTTCCATTCTTTCACTCGTTCTCTTTCCACAATTCGAATAAAAGAGTTGTACGAGCATGTAATTATCCCAAGTTCCAAGCATTTCAAGTAACAAGGACATCTCAGCTCTCGACTTTCTTCTGGCTTACGCAATTTAATTACGAGGTAGGGTAATTTCTTCGGGCGTGCTCTCTCCGGCAGTCTTATAATCTAATTTAAAGTTTTCTTTGTCTTGTTTTTTTTGTAATCAAATTACCATTAACGTAGTTTATTAATTTTAGAAAGTCGTTTTAAAGTTTAACCCTTTCTCTCTGCGTCTGTGAACGATTGGCCGTATATGCTAGCGTTTTGTTTCTACGGTCGGCTCGAACGTCCAAACCAGAAATAAAAGTTGACATTGAAAAGAAAGGTCGTAAAAGGCAGGCCATCTCAAATCCCATTTGTTAAAGTCTTGTGCGCCTTTTCTCGTTAGTGTTCGGCTTTATTCATTTTTCCAATTGGACAATATCGACTCATTTGGTCCTTGAAACACGCGAGCGACGATGTCAGTCGAACATTCGCCAAATCGCATTACAAGCGAAGCATGAATCACGTGGAGAATCCTCCATCAATCAGGACTGGACTGCACATCAATAACACACATGCTTCGTAGGAATACGAAGTGTGTAATAAATAAACCATGTGACAGAGGCTTTCAACATCCCATTGGAGGGTGAGTTTTAATTATATTATATAAGCATCTTTATTAATACTAAATCGTATTATAATTGTGTAAATAAAGATGATTATCATTTTTTATTTGCCTGTTGAGGTGTTTAAAAAAGCAAATTAAACCATTACTACGTACCTGTCTTGAAGGATTAGCATATATTAAGATGGGATTGTATTGTTTGATTCAATCCCCGCTTCCAAATTTTAAAGGTTCTTCTGGGACCAAGTACCCTTGAATAATTAATTGTGAACACAACATAATTACAAAAATTCAAGCCTGATAAGGCTATATAAAAATAAATACATCCAAAATGAAAATACGCTCCAATGGAAATTAATCGAAACAGGGACAGAAGAGGTTATGTCGTTTGAATCCACATCTGCCTTCAAATCGTAAACGATATGTTCATTATATTTACTACAGCGGCCAATATGTAGAAGTTATGTCGTTCGACTCTACGAAATTGTAATGTTACGTCGTTTGAATCCACTGCTGTCACCAAATTTTAGAAGGCTCTAGCTGGCAAAAATCGTAGAAATTTTGCCGTTTGAATTTACTGATGGCACCAAATAATAGAAGTTATGTCGTTTAAATCCACGGCTCATACTAAATTGAAGAAGTTATGTCGTTTGAATCCACGGCTCATACTAAATTGAAGAAGTTATGTCGTTTGAATCAACTGCAGCCACCAAATTGTAGAAGTTATGTTGTTTGTGCTGCATCTAATTGAATCTACTGTTACCATCTAATTGTAGATGTTTTGTAGTTTGAATTCACTGCTGACAAAAAAATTTAGAAGCCATATCGTTTGGCTCTACTCCTGCCACAAAATCGTAGAAGTTATGCCGTTTGAATCTACTACTGACACCGAATAATAGACGTTATGTCGTTTGGCTCTACTGCTGCCACAAAATCGTAGATGTTATGTCGTTTGAATCTACTGCAGCTACCAAAATGTAGAGGTTATGTCGTTTTAATCCACTGCAGTCACCAAATGGCAGAAATTATGCCGTTTGAATCTACTGCTGACACCAAATAATTGAAGTTATGTCGTTTGAATCCACGGTTCACACTAAATTGAAAAATTTATGTCGTTTCGTTCTACTGTTGACACCAAATAATTGAAGTTATGTCGTTTGAATCCACGGCTCACACTAAATTTAAGAAGTTATGTCGTTTTAATTACTGTTGACACCAAATAATTGAAGTTATGTCGTTTGAATCCACGGCTCACACTAAATTTAAGAAGTTATGTCGTTTTAATCTACTGGAGCCGCCTAATTGAATAAGTTATGTCGTCTGAATTCACTGCTAACACCAAATTGTAGAGGTTATGTCGTTTGGATCTTCTGCAGCCACCAAATTGTAGAACTTGGTTATCTGACTACAAGACCGTGACTAAATTGTACGAGTCATGTTCTGTGCTATCAAATCTGCCATCATATTATAAAAGCTATTGTTTGATTGCACCGCTGTCGTCAAATTTTAGAAGTTTCGAGATCTGATTCAACGGGTTCCACCATTCAATTTTTCGGTTTTCATTGTTATATATAAGACATTCTAGCTACTAGTGAACAAGTTTTTACTGAACTTCAATTAGAAGTTTTAACCGGAAATAATACGTTTTTCTCGAGTTTCCCAGTTGTAAATCTTGTGATTGCCTCAAGTATTAAGAGGTCTTGGAGAAATATAATAGCCCGAATTTCTCTTTGTAATTTTTTTAAGTATTATAATAACGATCAATTTTATTGTGAAATTAGTGAGGCGGGATGAAAATTGGGTTCTTTATAACAATACAAGTTTCGGCATAGGCAGAAATTTCACTCGGGCTTGAGACGTGCAGCATCGCCCACTTTCGCTATTACGAATTGTGCCGCACAATGGAAAGGAATGGACAATGCAAACTTATGCGAACTGAAAGACAGCGGTCAAACATCGTAGATATCGACAATCCCCGTAAATAATTAAAGATTCTTACTAACATTCTAAACAACCCAGAATATTTTATGTAATAACAAGTCTAACACAACCAAAAATACAATTAAATGGGAGAATATATGGGGGGGTTCTTGCATATTTTTCTTTACTGCTTGAATTTCCCATTTGGGGTGTTCTTTGTACTAACATGACGGGGAAAAAACATAGTAATTAAGTTTATATTTACCTCCTACGTTATTACCTACTAGATTTTGACAATTTTCAAGAAATTTGATGCAGAAAATTATTTTAAGATGGAAAAAACACGATAACGAGCGTCGTCGCTCGTGAATGAAGTAACCTTGTCCGTTGAACTTCTGTTCAATGCCGCAACACCACAAAGGCACAATGCCACCCTATCGAGCCTAAAAGTCGCCCTCTTACCCATTTGATTTAAGAAGATTTTCCAATAGAAATTTGATTTGTTTTTGTTTCAGTTCAACGGTAAAAAGATGAACTTCTACTCCGCTGACCACGGACTGATATTAAGGTCGTTCATGTACCTCTTCAAAGTGATCCAGGAGAAGAGCAACGTCCATTTCATACTAAAAGCTTCCTTTTTAGAAATTTACAACGAAAAGGCAAGTCAACGATTTTAGTTTATGTTTTAAAATTAATTAGATGGTTATGAGTGTATTTTAAAGAAATGTGAACAATCTGATCATATTAGATAATACTAATCAACTTATGTTGGTCAAAGACTCACTGTGAAACTAAACAAAATCTTAAAGTTGAGTTTGACAGTGTATCAAGGATAGCCATGTAATGGCTTAAACGGTAAATATGCTAAGGAAACATTTCAGAACTCCTTGAAGTCCTGGAAGGTTAGGCATGATCTTCATCTATCAAAATTCTTTCAATTTAGTGACAGAATATAATCACAAAACAGCTTTTTTTTAATTTTTGTATCTATAACTTGAAGATTGGCATATGTCAACCTTGGCGTGTCAGCAGAGCCAAGCGGATCCATAGACACCAAATTCATTTAATCCCTGAAAAATTTATGAACTCTTTGAAATCCTGAATGGATAGGCATGATCTTCATCTATCAAACTTCTTTCAATTTAGACAGAATATAATCTCAAAAAAGCTTTTTTTTTTATTTTTGTATCTATAACTTGAAGATTGGCGTATGTCAACCTTGGCGTGTCAGCAGAGCCAAGCGGATCCATAGACACCTAATTCATTTAATCCCTGAAAAATTTATGAACTCCTTGAAATCCTGAATGGATAGGCATGATCTTCATCTATCAAACTTCTTTCAATTTAAGACAGAATATAATCACAAAAAAGCTTTTTTT